AAATGAAAATTAAGTCATTAATTACTCACCCCCATGCTGTACCAACCCCGTAAGACCTTCGTTCGTCTTCGGAACACAAATAAAGATATTTTTGATTGAATCTGAGAGCTGGATCACTCTTCCATTGGCTTCCTAAGGGACTGGCTCTTGACGGCCCATAAAGTCATTAAAGAAAAAGTTTAAATATTCCATGTGCCTACAGCGGCTCAATTATAAGTTTATCAAGCGACGAGAATACTTTTTGTGCGAAAAAAACATAAATAACGACTTAATTTCGACTATTCTATTACTTCCTTATGGGCGCATGCGCGGGAACTGAGACGAGGACGTTCTCATTCGTCTACTTCTTGTTACCGGCTGCACACCACTTAGGAATTTTACCGCCCCCTACCGTATAAGATGATGTGCTGATATAGCTGGGAGCGAAAAACTTTCTGTTTACAAGCAGAGGAAGATGCGCGCTGTACATACGCTTTTCAATTAGCGTATTTTCCGCACTATAAGGTGCACTTAAAAGCCTTTAATCTTCTCAAAAAAACGACAGTGTTCCTTATAATCCGGAGCGCCTTATATATGAATCATCATTTTATACGGTAGGTGGCGGTAAAACTCCTAAGCGGAGCAGCCGGTAACAAGAAGTAGACGAATGAGAACGTCCTCGTCTCAGTTCTCGCGCATGCGCCCATAAGGAAGTAATGGAATAGTGGAATAAAGTCGTTATTTATGTTTTTTTCGCACAAAAAGTAGTCTCGTCGCTTGATAAACTTATAATTGAGCCGCTGTAGGCACATGTAATATTTAAACATTTTCTTTAATGACTTTATGGGCCGTCAAGAGCCAGTCCCTTAGGAAGCCAATGGAAGAGTGATCCAGCTCTCAGATTTAATCAAAAATATCTTTATTTGTGTTCCAAAGATGAACGAAGGTCTTACGGGGTTGGTACAGCATGGGGGTGAGTAATTAATGACTTAATTTTCATTTTTGGGTGAACTAACCCTTTAAGGCGAGACACGGCAGGCAAAAACATTGTGGGCTAGTTTACTCCTTCAATGGGTGTGCTTTCAAGCTGCTCCAAAGAAAATGTTGAAAAATTACATTAAGATGTTTATTTTATTACATTTAGTTAACTTGCGGCAGTAAATTTCTCCCGAATTTACCAAGAAGTTAGCATTCCAGTGTGTTTACTGAAGTCTGTCATGACCGTTATCGGTGGAAATCTCTGAGTCTCGTGCACAACGCTGTGGAACCCAAATATGGGCATTTCCTTTCTATCAGTAACCAATCGTGAATGTCCAAAGCAGACTGATCTCATGAGGTAGCGTGTGTATGACACGCCAATTCGTATTTCCATTTTTGGCGTGCTATCAACACGCATAATCGCTTGATTTGGTCATGGGCCGACACTACAATACGTTTAAAGGGGGTCGCACACCGGACGAGAAGCGCCGCGCCACGTCTAGGACAACTCCAGGTATCGCACACCGGATGCGCACTTTCCCATCAGTGTATGGCCAGCAATATTGTTATATTTAATGACATGAAATGAAGATAATGTCTGTCCTATGTTATTATTGTACTGTACAATTAAATACAATCGTTGCGGAGTCTGCATTCTGAAAACTTTACCTCAGAGCATCCGTTAACTCAATGAATTGAGAATCTCACCTGAAAATCCAATAACATCAGCAATTAATTGTCATTCAAGCAGCTGATTTCTGTAAATGAATGCAAAACTAAATGTATATTGCTGCATAGGGCGAAGTCAGGATCCATTAGCAAAGAAAAATAATTTAAATTTTATATAAAACTATGTAAATGGCGTTCAGTGGCGCAGCAGGATTTTGAACACGGTCCTGAGCCGTTGCTGGGCGCCGAGGACAGACGCCGAATGGCGCCGCCAATGTGTGTACTGTTGGGGAAATTTTAATCATATGAATGTTGGGTCTTGTGTTTCTATCCGTTTACCTCCTTTATGTAATAACAGAGGAATGTCTTATGGTTTTGCTATCCGTGAAGGAGGTAATTTGTCTTTCCGTTATCAAGAGTGGAATGAGGCACCAGAGAACCGGCCAGGTCAGAGGTCATCTTAGACTGGGGAGGATAGAGGGGATTAGCGGTAAATCTAACCTAGCATGTGAATCCTATGGCTTGTGGAATTTTACAGAGACGCTTGGCCTGCAGTAAATAACCTTGAGAGAGACATAAGATTGAACTCCGGCCTGTGTTCTGGGCGTCACTCTCTTCACAGTGTACCAATCTGTGTTAGCGACTGAGCCTTATTATTCTTGCAAGAATAATAAACCTCTTTTCCTTTTATTAATTTTAATCTGAGTGTCTCTTACGCAGTGATGTCTGTTTATTGAATTTTTGCCTTAACAGTACACTCATAGAGAATAATGTGTTCGAATTTTAAAGATGTGGTGCTGCGCGACACGGTGTGCGACCCCCTGAGCCCCCGCTCCTGGATGAGATGGTAAACAATAAAATAAAAAAAAAAAACGGTCTAATCATAGACTGTAAAAATGCGCTAAACATGGCACTTTAAAAAACGGATAGTTTATTTATAGTTCGAATACGGTTATTTCACGTCATGTTCGAATGCATATTCGAATATCCAATAAAAAAGTGACAGCCCTAGCAAGCCGCAGAAAGCTAGAAGCCATGAACACCGTGAGTAGTGACTTTTCCCTTGTGAGTGCTGTAAAATATTTAGTTGGATTGTTTCATGTAACTTAGTTCTCCCTCGCTGTGTTATGGGTTTGCTATGTAGGGATAAATGTGTTGTTACATTCGCGAGACAGCTGATAAGTACTCATGTCATTGACCGTAAAACAGTATGTTACAGGAATCACTAACCCGTCTATTTTATAAGAGATCTAAGTCGATCGCGAAGAGTTTTCACAATCAGAGAAAAAGCCTATTGTGTGTAGTAAATGGTGTCTATGGGATGCGGAGGCTCTGGGCTCATGCGGACGCGTCGAGTTTAAACAAGGCTACGCTTTAACCAGTTCAGTGCTGTCCACAGTAACAGCAAATATTAGCCAGCTAAACTTTTACTACCCTGTTAGAAAACATATATAGCAGCATAGTTTCATGTAGTTCTTCTCCCTCGCTGTATTATGGGTTTGCTATGGGGTAGGGATGCTCCGATCAGGATTTTTGCAGCCGATACCGAGTACCGATTTCTTGTCATGGTGATCGGCCGATACCGATACCGATTCCGATGCTTAATTGACTTAATATAAGACAAATAAACAAAATGGAACAGTTTAATGCAGCCCATAAGGTTTATTTAAACATTGTCCAATACTGTGGAGGACAAGTCTGATGTAATTTTAACATCGTCCAATACAAGTCTGAGCAGGACAAAATAAAGCTGAGTGAGAGCCTTTTTTGCAGTTGCCAGTTTTTCATATTCGCCATACGTCTCACGGAGGCTCCTTCTTAAGTGACAAATCAGGTTCGTTGTATTAAATGTTTTGGACAATGCTCCTCCACATGAGATTTCTTTGAAAAAATACACAGCAAATAGCGAATTTTTCATTTTTTTTCGAAACATCGTAGTAGTTCCACACCGGCGAAGACATGACTGCGCGCCAAATAATTTAAGTCCCCACGCATCATACTTCCTGTCACGCGTTGACGTCATAGTAAGACTGGAAAACTGGTTAAAGAGAAAATATCTGACCAATGCCCTCTGAAGACAAATGGCATCGCTTGCAAATTAACATTTGACACCCTACCCCCTTTTCTCTGAACATCTTATCTGCATCTTCTCTCTTTCACTCTCTCAGTCAATGATACTGAAAACTCACACAAGAATATGGTTTTAATGTGAATGTGATAAGCTTTAAGGATTGTTTAGAATCATTTTGATGGTCTCATTGCCAAAGTAATAAAAGAAAAGGTAATACGGTTTTTAAGAATATAGAAATGTCTTGCACATGGAAGGGTGTGTCTTTGAGTCAACACCTTCTGCCTTGTTGTCTGAATGCAATTTACAACCAAGCAAATGGTCTGCGCCCAATAAGCATGTTGGGGGAGATTCAGTAATTTTCCTTTGTAACCTGGTGATTTACATATCAAGTGAGGTCTGATTATAAAGGGAGATGTAAATAGAGTTCGGGGCTGCCTTTCTGTATTCAGATCAGCCCATGATGTTGTGTATTCTCAGCTCATGTAATATGTTGGGTAAGGTTCTTTGTTCTAAAACATTTGGTGGTTTGGTCTGATTACCTTGTGGAATTGTAATAATACATTTACCTGACATAATAAATTGTTATATTTGGCTATTCTAACAGACTTTGACTTTATTTTCATTAGTTAAAAGGAATAGTCAAGCATTAACGTATTAAATGATGCACAGATATCATTGATAAACCCTTTTCATTTTATGGAGTCAGATGAAACGAGTTAATTGATACGATTAAATGTATTGCATTTAATTAAACATCACTTTGCCATGGGAAAGACGGAACACGCTTGAAACCTTCTCCACGAATCGAATTCTGCGATTTGGGTCGATTTCGTGGCTCTTTTCACATCATCAAATCGCGATCAGTTTGTAAGATCGGCCAAGTTAGTGAGTACCGATCGAGTCATAAAATGTTATTATCAGCCGATACCGATCTCCGGCCGATCGATCGGAGTATCCCTACTATGGGGAGAAATGTGCTGGTTACGTTTGTGAGACAATCAGCTGATTCCTATCATTATATTATATATCAAGACCATTCCTAAGATCCGCACCTGACTATGGCTTTGTAAACTTCATCCATGATGTGGTTTATAATGGACTGTGGTACAGACACTTGGCTCTGGCTATTCTCTGCTCTCTCAGACGATGATATGTTTGTCCCGATTGAGCCACCGTAGCTTCTTCGAAAGGAAGGGGTGAGCAGTGGGCTGAGCCCTTAGTGCAACTCGCAACCGAACCGCCAGATGTCGCCAAAAATCACACACTGCACCTTTAAGTCCCTTGAAGAATTTTAATAATTTACAACGGCTTCGAACGCTGCTCAACCAATCAGAATCAAGGACTGGAACTAAAGTTCCATTTGCTGAGGCTCCCATGACAGAAAGATGAAGACTTGTGTGATAATAAAGCATTATAAGGTGTGCACATGCATATTCTGTGGTAGTTTTCAATACATAACGCTTGAAACATATATCACCGGAGTAAGGCTTAGTTCCACTCTTAGTTGATCTCACTCAGGTTTATCACTTTGTGTAATTGAACAATCTCTTATAAAAGACTGTCATTGTTGCGCTTCGGACTAGCCACACTTCTTACATCCTAATGGACACACTTACTTTCCTCTTGGACCTTACAGAGATGAGGATATTGGGCAGCAGGTATTCTGGGCTGAGGGAGCAGTAGAATGTGATCACTCCCGCCAGAAACGACCAGAAAACCATGAGAATATGCAGATACCTGGGAAAAGTGGCATGTTCACTGTGAGCATGTGGTTAATCACCAATCTTAAAGGATCAATTGCATGTAGAGCTTCTGTAAATGGTTTATTAAAAGCTAAACTGGTACAAAATGAATTCTTGGAGCAAAAACTACGGTGGCCGGGAGAGCTCAATGCGCTGCAACTGAAGAAAACATCTTCACCAGTTTCACAACACACGTGAGCTCCAAATACTCACAACACCCCCAAAATACAGAAACACGCAGCAAATAACACACACCACAATGGAAATGTTGAATCCAGGGGAACCACATAAGTGACGAATCCGGCTGGGACGTGCTGGTGCTTACAGCCATTTACATAATGAATACATAGTCGTCCAATAGAGTGCCGAAGTGATGACGTCACTTTGTAGGACAACTCGGATGGGTTCCCTCGGTCGAAAAGCTATGCATTTTCCCCATAGACTTTTGGAAAATCGCAAAAAAATAAGATCGCTTAGCGCTTAGTAAGAGCCACGAGACGCGCTCCAATACGGGCAAAGAAGCGAATAAAATATACGATAAGTCACGTCATAACACAGAGATTAACAGATATCATGGTAGAGATGTAATTTTTCGTTTATAATTGCTGAATTTGATTAATAATTGTTAGAGCCCGACCGATAAAGGATTTTAAAGGCCGATACCGATACAAATATTTGTTGGTTTTAAAATCCGATATATCGGCCGATATATTTTTAGTTTTTATTTCAGAAACACGAAACAAAACATTCACAGATTTCCCTAACATTAGTTATTTGTAGTTATTTATGATTATTTTAACTAAAATAATATGATAATGCATTTAAAAAAGAAACTTGTTTCTTTTGTCACAAAGGAACGGACTGATAAAAGTGGCGTTAGCTAGCTTTATGGTTAGCTAGTCTATGATGATATAATAATTTAGCAATGGATGACGTCATACTGGAAAGTGTAAAACACATATTTTCAATATAACAGGCCAAGGAGAGATGATGCGTCTCATTGCTATAACTGTCACACGCTATTAAAGAAATACTTCAGTCACATTAAGTTAAAAATGACGACAATGTAACGTAATTATTACTAGCTAACTCCGCTTCACTTAACAGCAGCAAAACTGAGTCACAAATTTTGTCCTGCTTATTTGAGTTAAGAGAACTGATGAGGATGTTCTTTTAATTGTTATTCTAGCAATGTATGTCTCGTGACCAACTCAACGAGTGTTGCCAACAGGAACGGTGTAGAGCGCCCTCTGGTGGACAAACTATACAACTCCAACACTCATGACATGGTTCAAGCGTGTTTCCTCTGTTTTTGTTTTATTTTTGAAATATTCATTTATCGGCCATTATAACTGCCGATACCGATAGTAGGAAAATGCTTAATATCTGCCGATATATCGGTCTGGCTCTTGTAATTGGGTTGTATTTAATGATGCTATATTTAAATAAAATTGCCTTTGCCATCATGTAAAACCCTGACATCAATTTAGTATTTCGTCATAGTGACTAAAACAAACAATTCACTCTGTCTCAGTGTATTATAATTGTTTTACTATCAATGCCAACGGCGAGAGAATTTCGTTTTGCAGTGGACAAATCACCTTACTTTGCACGGGGGTAAAAATAAGTCTTATAAGACACTTGAGTAAAGGCCTGTGTGTTTTGTGTCTTAATCAACTTATTCCACACACATATAAATTATAACTCATACTCATCGCTCTGTCCATTTCAGCAAATTATGTTGTGTGAAGGCCTCTCCTGTTGCTTTTGGTGCTTGTCAAGACGCACTTGCACCCCCTGCTGGTAAAGCCGGCAGATGGAGAGTATGCTCTGTAATCTATTACTTTTCCTGCAGTTCCTGAACGTCACTCTTGAATTTGAACCACTGAATTTGTGGAACCGAATTTTCAAGGTGAAATAAAATGGACCAAAAATTGCCTGTTGAATATAATAGGTTGTATTTTTAAACTGTTAGAAAATTTTGGACAAAATTTTGGACGTGAAATAGGGGTGTAACAATATATCTCAATTAGAGCCAGGCCGATATTATCGGCCGATATTAGGCATTTTCCAAACTATCGGTATCGGCAGTTATAATGGCCGATAAATGAATATTTTTTAAAAATAAAATTAAAAACAGAGGAAATACGCTTGAACCATGTCATGAGTGTTGGAATTGTATAGTTTGTATAGCTAGTAATAATTACGTTATGTTGTTACAGTGTAGTTGACTAATTGTCCTTTTAACTTTTGACAATGTGACTGAAGTATTTCTTTAATAGAGCGTGACGGTTATAGCAATGAGACGCATCATCTCTCCTTGGCCTGTTATATTGTAAATGTATGTTTTACAATTTGTTGCACATTTCTGAAATAATAATTTAAAAAAAAATATCGGCCGATATATCGGAATATCGGATTTTAAAACCAATAAATATTTGTATCGGTATCAGACTTCAAAATCCTTTATCGGTCGGGCTCTAATCTCAATACAAATATGCAACAATACGTATTGTGTATAGTGACAATATGTATTGTGGATAGTCCCCCCAAAATAAAAATGACTGTGAGAAAAAGTTTTCAAAATTTTAGTGTCAGTACTACATTAAACTACTATATATAATGTTGATTATAATGTATAATAATGGAATGGGGGAATATATGTGGGTCCTGATAATGCCACATTTCTTATGTTACCAGTAAAAAGTGGTCTACATTTATTTTAAATAGATCTAGTCAGTGACAGAGATCAAGCATATTCGTTTGAAATAATTCTGTATTTTCAGCTTTAGAATCATGGATATTGTTATTCTGGTGTCACCATTGTCCTTGGGTTACAATCACCAAGTCCAAGCCTATTCATTTAAACCCACAATGTAATATCAAAGTTAGCATTTTAATCAACAGTACAGTTTTTGTTAAACTTTTATTATTTGTTTTGAAGTATCGCAATAATATCGTATCGTGAGATGTATCGAATCGTGACATGAGGGAATTGTTACACCCCTAGAAATATGAAAGGTGAATTTGGATTATTCAATTTGTAATAATGAAAATGTTATTTTTAATTGAAACATTCAACAATGTTGAATTTCAGCCCATAAAAATGCAGTGGATTAAAATGCAAGCATGGTTTGGTGCAATTACACGTGCTTTTTTTTTTTTTTTTTTTCAAAAACATTTGAAATTATTTTACTTCCATAATAGACCTCCATTCATTCTGCACTCTGCCTGTGAGCGCCCTCATATGGACCCAGACAGGAACTGCAACCAGTTCAGAACCCAGAGGTTTACTGATAAAGGGAGTTTTAGACATTCTGGCACGTCTGGCACTTATTTGCTTCCCCTGGACGCATTTCCATTGTGGTCTGTGTTATTTGCAGTGTGTTTCTGTATTTGGTTGTGTTGTGAACTTTTGCAGCACGTTTCTGTAATAGGCTTTATGCCGTGCGTCACGTGACCAAACCGGAAAACGGGTCTCATCGCACCCGCTTGTCAGAGAAAGTGTTAACGGCCTTAAGAACTGACTACGATATCTATGGATATTTAAGGTAATCAGCTAACCTACCTAGTTCACTTTGTTATTGGCGTTTTATTTCTTTTAAATATCCAAACGTTACTGTGAAGAATAAAAAATATAAAACGTTTAAATATCAATCTGCACATGTGAGGGATATTGGTTATGCTAATCTTTGCACGCTCCTTTTAAGTTATCTTGAGTAAAACCGCAAAAAAATTCATGAAGCACATACAAAAGACCTGGACCGGAAGCGATGCGGAAGTAAGTTGTGCATAAAGCCTATTGCACGCGTGTTGTCGTGAAACTGATGATGTTGCTTTTTTTTTTTTTTTTTGCAGGTGTTTTTTTTCCACACGTTTCTTTTTTTTTTTTCAATTTGCATGTTTTTTTCACGCGTTTTTTTTTTTTTTCTATTTGTGTTTGCTTCAGTTGCAGCGCGTTGAGCTCTCCCGGCCACCGTAAACCTTGATTGACATTATAAGTGGAATTGGCCTTATGCACAGCTGCACTACTTCCTGAACTTAAAGGAGAAATGAAGCGGTGAATCAAGTTTACATGATTTACAAGATGGATTTCCAAGATAATCAACAATTATATAAGAAACATTACAAATGTAAACATTTAGAAGAAAAAAAGAAAAAAACTTTGTATCTTTCACCGCCAGGGCGCCGCCATTGTGCAGGTGACGTCACGGGGTTGGTTGGCTCAAGTTTAACAGGCTCTGGGCATTGAAAATCGCGACATCAAACTGTGTTTATACCAGTGTTTTGACCGCGAACGACTACAGTTAGGTACAGTCATTAGACAAAAAGATGACGTCTCATGTTATATGTTGACAAACTGCACATAGAAACATTGTTCGCGATGTCTGCGATCAGATATTCCCGTCTCGTCAATAACATGTAAGTTAGCACGTATTTGTTAAAGGAGAAATGAAACGTCCATATTTTCGCACTGGTAGTGCTAGTAACGTTAGCTACAGCCTACATATACTAGGAAAAAGTGTCTCCGCTCTGACATCCTTCAGGGAAAGCATCGCCGCTTCCACACGTCTAACTCCCAGCACAGCATGGTAACGCGCCGGTGATGCAGAATTGACCACGCAACACATGCTCAAGATCAACCTCTTGACAACAGATGGACTCTGACACGGAGGGCATCGCAGGACAACAGCCACACTGACACCTGGTAAGTTAGCGTTGCAAACCCGCTCTTCGCCCCAAACCACCACTGACTGTTCTACACAGCAACGTAACTTATGGTGTTGACGAGACGGGAATATCTGACGGCAGACATCGCGAACAATGTTTCTATGTGCAGTTTGTCAACATATAACATGAGACGTCGTCTTTTTGTCTAATATCTGTACCTAACATTAGTCGTTCGCGGTCAAAACACTGGTGCAAACACAGTTTGATGTCGCGATTTTCAATGCCCAGAGCCTGTTAAACTTGAGCCAACCAACCCCGTGACGTCAACTGCACAATGGCGGCGCCCTGGCGGCGAAAGATACAAAGTTTTTTCTTTTTTTCTTCTAAATGTTTACATTTGTAATGTTCCTTATATAATTGTTGATTATATTGGAAATCCATCTTGTAAATCATGTAAACTTGATTCACCGCTTCATTTCCCCTTTAAGCCAGCTCCTTGTTTCCTGTCTGCCATTATTGGTCAAATGGATTGATTCAGGTGTGCCTGAACTCAGTAGTCATGGCAACAATAATCAGACACACCTGAATTAATCAAGTTTGGCCAATAATGGCAGACAGGAAACAATGAGCTGGCTTAAGTTCAGGAAGTAGTGCAGCTGTGCAATGCATAAAGTCAATTGAGGGAGGGAAATAACATGCTCCAGAAGCTACTCACTGGTTGAGGATGATGGTGGAGGAGATCATAAAGGTGAAGATACAGAAGATGACAGGATACTGACGAGCAACATCCTTAAACACATCTAAGCGCAGACCTCTTCTCACACACCCCAGAAATGAGTGAGGGTCCGACATTATATCTAAACAAGAGAATACATCTATATTGAATGATTTCGGTAACGTTAATTGTCAATATTCTTACATTTACATGGTATAAGTCCAAAACAATTAGGCTATACCATTTCCAAAACATTGTAATAACACATGACACATCTATATTTTATAGGGCTGGGTAATAAATATCGATTTCTCGATATTAATCGATTCTCATTTTTAAGAACCGATATCGATTCTTAAATCTCAAGAATCGATTAGTCATCCTGTTTCATTTAAATTATTGGGACATTGTATCGCAATGTCCCATACACTTAATGTTCTTCAATATTTAATGCATATTTGCATAAATCTGGCAAGTTTTTATGACAGCCACCATTTAAATGTTTATATTTCATATAATCTTCTTATTATAAAAATAAATAAAAGTGTAATTTAAGTGTTTGTATAGCTACAAAACATTTAATTATTACCTTCATTTTAGGCTAATGAAGCCTATTGGCTACAACTATAGACTCCCATAGTTTACAGCATTTAAGAGACTCGATTACCTTGAGAAAAATGGCCATTTATTGTAAATGATATACAAAATAATTGATATTGAATCGAATCGAATCGTAATCGAAATCGAATCGCAAGCTTGTGAATCGAAATCGAATCAAATTGTGAAATTTGTCTCAATACCCAGCCCTAATATTTTATACACACACACACACACAAAAACGAATACTTTAAGTTAAAATGCAATATGGTATTCACACATACAGTTCCGTGGTACTTTTACTTTTTGAAACTGTCAAATCAAGACAATAATAGCAGATGTTAAACTACAGTGGATGATGACGATGATGATGATAGTCTGGTAATCTCAGCTAACCTGCAAATGTGTAAACAACACGAAAACCTTTGCTCTTAAACGTCAGTTTAGTGCGATGTTGTAATTCTCTCACCTCACAGATGATGCGCAGGTCTGATATAAACTCTAGAAACATGTCAACACATCCTGACACTAATGTTTTGATCATCCATCTGATCGTTTCACATGATCAGATTATTGAGCTACACTACCGGGTTTAACGTGTAGCGTCATCCCAAAATAGCGTTTCAAAATAAAAGTCCTATTGAACGCCACCCAATTCACGCAAATTAACACTGTTTTCGTTAAAATATAGTGTAGTAGTGTGGTACATATTTTGGGAAAGGAAAAGGGTAAAATGTGTGATGTTGTGTTGGGCTGGGTTTCATTCCTCTCTGATAAAAGAGAGTAAGAGACTAGTATTGAAACAGACCACTGATTCTTCTTGAGATATGAGACAACGGATGTTTAGAAGTTAGTTTTTATTATTTGATACTACATTATTATAAACTGATATTTTTGTAGAAAAAGGGTCTCTTCTAAATGAACCATGTGAACATAGTTTTCTGAAAATATTTTTTTCTAATCTTTCTAAGATTCATTCATCTCGTAACAATTTGTGTCAACTCCATCTGTCACATTAAAAATCATGCTATTTATTTGGTCCATCCAACAACAGTGTAAAGTGTGTGTAGAGCAGCTGAGTGAAAAAAAAAAAACATTCTCTAAAAATGTTTTCCTGGGTTAGGATTATTTTGACCAATCCAGTTCAATTTCCAACTCTACCCTCCTTTTTATATTAAACATATAAATTTTCTTCGGTAAATCAGACATAATATCATATACGCTAGTTCAGTGATGTTTTAAGATTTTAACACAATAAATGTATATAAATATTTCTTTCAAATCTAACAGAAACCTTCATCTGACGGTGTTAAATACTGAGGGAACTGACAATGTTCCAACTTAATTCATAATTTATTAAACATTAATAATATGCAGTTTATAAATACAGCTTTAATTCTTGATCTATAAGCATATCTATAATAATTGCATTTTATGATCAATTTATCATTTCTAAATTATGTATTAGATTATTTACAAACCAGTTATTTAGGAGTTGCCAACTGTTCCTACGAACGATTAATAAACTATTTAAAAGTACATTTATAAATCTTATTGTTAACACATACTGTAGTTACTATTGACATTTCTACTGTAATTCAGGTTGTTATAAAACATTTAGTAGTAGTCAGTTCACTATTTTGTGAGCTCATCTAAAGTGAGGACTATTTCTGCCTAGGATATCTAAAGGCTCCGTTACAGGAAAAGGAAACAAATTGAACCTGAATATGTTTAACCACATGTTGTACAGTGCAGAGATTGATTTTTTCCTCGGTTGAAGCTGTCTTGGCTGTCACGTTAAAGCTGTGACCGCAGAGACCTCAAACTTTCAGGACGAGATTCAAGGAAATAGGACCGGGGTCCTCAGAGTTGACCATGACATTGCCTGATTTATTCAGAATAATAAAGTAGTTTCAGAAGTGTACGAAACTTCGATTGGCTTTTTTTTTTTTTTAAGGGAAATTATAATCCCAGATTTACTTTTTGTATTGTTTGATATATTACTGATTTCAATTTTAATTGCATATTTTGTTGCATTTTTAAACACTTTATGGCAGTTTTCGATTGTGACCTCTGCTGAGGACAGGTTTCATGTGTAAGTTTTCAAGTGTGAGATAAAACATGAGATAAAACATTACTTCACTACAATTTCTTCCTCTTTCTTCCTCTTTTTTAGAGTAAAAAACTTTTTACTCTATTAAATGTTTAGATTTAGTTTCATCTATTGCCCTCTTTTTATTTTTTATTTTATTTTTTATTTTCCTGTTTATCATTGTCTAATTTCTTTTTTTGTGCTATTATGTTGTTGTTGTTGTTATTATGTTGTTTTACTCTGTAAACTGAATGTTTAAATAAAGCATTTGAAAAAAATGTAGAAGTCATTCAAAAAAAAAAGCATGTATTTAAAATAAAACTAAAGAAACTGTTTAAAAATAAAAGCAATGTGCGTATCCAGATTTCCATGTAGAATTTCTTTTACTTTTGAAGTATTTTAATTTGGATGAATTTCTTGATTTTTAACATAAAGAGGGCTTTAATATATGTTTTGTCCTGTATTTTAAGAATCAGTGACCAGTTTATAATCCATAAAGTGGTCATCATAACTCATAAAAATAAGTTCCCGCTGTGGGTCGAGCTATTAAAGCATCCACTTCATATGCTCATAGCTTCAGAAGAACATAGTGTTTCTTGTCCAGGCTGGAGATTCTCAATAACCCCACAAGAGGGCATCAGCAAACCAAGGCTGCAAGATGAGTTCAAATCAGTTCAGTTTAATTGAAATCTAACAAAATATGCTAAGATGCACAGTGCATATAATAATAATAATATATTTATTAATTTGGAAAGTGCTATCGCATCCTCTAGAGTCTAGACGATCATTGACAGCCCATAACCTGTGTAGAAATACCGCATGTCTTGCCTGATGTCTGTCTAAATTCTGCAGAGGATATTTTAGATACATCATTATTTGATCAAATTTTTAACTGACATCCAAGGACATTAAGTATGAACTTACATCACTTAATATAGTAATGCGTTCATGTGCTATGTTAATTATGGTACATTCCCAAAAGCCGACGTGTATTTACCACTGGGCAACTCGTAGAATATTTTGATGGACGAGTTGCCGAGATGAGATAACCTTTGATCTTTTCAAAATGGCGGAGAGCACCGCGAGAGTCGTGAATGGGCTCTATGCACGGCGGTATTTCCGGTGAAGGATTAAGGATGCTCGATAACTTCCGCCGATCATAGAGTCCAATGCAATAGCGAGAATTTATATTGAATTGTATACTCCATGGTTATACTAATGAAACGTTAGTCACAAAAACAGATAAAACAGACACCCCTCGTTGTGTTTATGCTTCTTTTTAAAATTATATCAAATAAACATAACTGTATATAAAATTACATCTAAACGTATGTACGTTTCGTTTCAAAGACGGGAGGACAGTAAATATTGAAGACTCTGCCATAATCCCGTTTTCTCCGGTTTTCCTCCACTTTAATCTACACAACCGGAAATAGACGAGCATACTTGCGTCAAATGCGGAACTTATGCGTGCATATAGCCCATTGTACAAATACAATTCATACTATGGGCTCTATGCACGGCGTTATTTCCGGTGAAGGTGTAAGGATGCTCGATAACTTCCGCCGATCATAGAGTCCAATGCAATAGCGAGAATTTATTGAATTTTATACTCCATGGTTATACTAAAGAAACATTAGTCACAAAAACAGATAAAACAGACACCCCTCGTTGTGTTTATGCTTCTTTTTAAAATTATATAAAATAAACATAACTATATATAAAATTACATCTAAACGTATGTACGTTTCGTTTCAAAGACGGGAGGACAGTAAATTTAGAAGACTCTGCCCGTTTTCTCCGGTTTTCCTCCGCTTTAATCTACACAACCGGAAATGGACGAGCATCCTTACGTCAAATGCGGAACTTATGCGTGCATATAGCCCATTCAAAATATACAGCATATTATTTACCTTTTGAGTTTTGATGAATCATTTTCTTGCTGTTGCAGATGACTTAAGCAATCTAAAATAGTTTTAGCTAAATAACAGGTCTGGATCTCCATCTTTTTACCACTGTACAACAACAAAAGTACTTGAACGCAACACACTGGTAAATACCAGTTCACAAGTGGAAAATATCCTATTTTCCATAGCATGTGAACGCAGCATTTAAGTAAACAACCTTGGACAACCAACTTTATGTTTTATCTGTCAAAGCAAAAACACTGTAATCCAATGAGAAAGTTTTCCTTTTTGAGGTATGTCTCAAGGTGAAGGGGCTGAGCATTTGGTAAACACTGTTACAAAGCCTGCAAACTCACATCAAGAAAGCCAAGAGTAACACTGCCCAACTAAAGGAAACACTGATCATCATAATGACGACCACATATTTTCAATAAAACAAGACCTAAACCTCTGTTAATTCTCAATAAAGTCAATCTAGTCAGTAATAAGTGTAGGTAATGCTGTTTGTGGAGTTGTTTAATCCTCCTCTGCTGAGATCTTCAGAGATTTAATGTCTTCTTTTCTCTTCAGTTGATTTCATTTAAGACTGTGGCTGGAAGTCAGTTGTAGTTGTGTTTCTCTTTTCCTCATTGATTATGCTTGTTAACAGCAGGTGTTCATAAATACTGCTCAATCATCACTTAATAATTAATCACTTTGTTATCTCATTAACTTTAACACGGATTCAATCTTTAACTCTCTGTAGAGTGGGACCAAATGTTCTCTGAGCAGAGTTAATCTGTATAACTCTAGATAGTGTTTATGACCACTAAGGTTTGACAGAAATGTTGTGTTTCCAGGCTTTTGCTCAGAACAGTGAGCTACGTTTAGCTGTTTTCTTACGCCATGGTTTCTGAGTGTGCGTGTGTGAGAGAGAGAGAGGTATATATTAAAAGTCTGATGTAAAGATATTGTCTTTCACCTTGGGTTATGTCATCCCTTCACAGATAGTGGCAGTGGATATGTTTATACCAACTGAGAGGGAAATTCGCTTCTTCCTGTGGTTGTTCTGGTACATTAAACATGAAGTCACGTTAGTGTTTTTCAACCGCGGTGTTTAGTACGTCCTCCATCACTGGCCATGGAGCCAACAACACCCTGCTGTTACATGCACTGAAGCTTCAGGAGATGGATATGACACGCTTTTACTTGCTAGATCAAAAGACTACATATATCTCTCAGATTCCAGTGAAGACAAACAACATTTCACATCAAAAATGTGTTATATTGCTGTCCTAATGCTGTTACAGTGGGATAATGTACCAGATCAAGTCACCATTTATAGAAAGGGATAACAAATTAATTCTTAAAATTATTCATAGAAATATGTTGCCAAAGAAGTTAATTGTTTTCCGTTCTAGAAAATGACTCTAGAGGGAAACAGACACTATCAACATGTGCAATATGGCCAGACTTTCACTGTGATTTTGCCAAGTAAGATGTGTCCCCAATCAACATAATTAATTGATCCTGGAACAACATTCCTGTCTGAAAATGTAATCCCCTAACCCTAAACCTTAATTTAATCCTTAAAATCAGAGAGAAATTATCGGTGAATATCATT